AGGAAGGTGGCAGTCTAGCACTGATGATGAGCACTTAACTTTTGTAAAACCAGGAAAGGCAACTAGACAAAGTGGAGACTAACCTGACACTGAGTGGCACCAATGTGGGTTAGAAAATTAGTGGGAATACAGAAACCCATAGCATGCACCTTAATGGAGATGCTTTTATCATGTCTGGGGATGTATAGCACACAATGACAAAGAGGGAACCGTACAATATTATAAGTGGCAAATAAAAACAGTCAGTGTGTATATTATTAGAATTTAAAGGTGCAAACTGAACATATTAAAATACATTTTTTATATTGGAGCAGGCTGCCTTTGTATCAGCAGTGGCAGCCTGTGACATAGATCAAGCCACTGTAGATTTGTTTAGTATAAACAGTGCAGTTTAAATGGTTTCATTAAAGGACACGTGCTCTGGTTTTGTTCTGACCTCGATCTCCTATCCTGCACTCTACTTCGACATCACAAACCCCAGATTTACATAACTATAGAACAGCAAGGACCCGTGTTGAGTGCATAAAAGTTAACAACATCCCTGAGGGAAGACAGACTATGAAAAGCAATTAGACAGTCTGTCTGAACCCACATTTAGCCAGCCAATAGCTTGACACATGAGAGTCAGATCTTATTAGATTCCTGTGCTCTTGTATCAGTTGCTCCTGAGGATGTCAATAGATGGATTTCCCTCAGTTGTTTGCTTTTAAATTAGTCCCAGTACAGGGGGTGCTCTTGGATCGTGTTTATGCGGGTAGTCGATCCTTTGAAGTTGTTAGTGTCTGAACGAGTCCAGGAGGATATACACCACTACCTACAAGCACAAGATGAGACATCTTATTGTTTATGTTATTATCATTTCATGGTAACGCACTACAGTGTGTGTCACTACACTGTGACTTTGGAAGTGCTAGCGGTGGCCAGCCGAGTGGGCTGTCGTGTGGAACTGTGCCCGCAGAGCAGGGAGGCACATTTGGAAAGAAGTCTGAAGTCATCTTTACTTTGTCTCATTAAAAGATCATTAGAGGCCATCCTCCCCTCTGCACCACCCACTCAGCTCCAGAGTAGTTCTTCCTACACAAAACATAGGTGAGAGGGCAGGGCTCCAGCAGAAGCAGGAAAACCCACCTATAAATAAATCAGAGAGAACAAAAGTCGATGCTCATAATCGTTTTATTACAGGCACTGCAGAAGCTGCACAATGGTACAGTAAACCTTCTGAAGTCACAGAAGTAGCTGTGTTTGCCAAGAAGCAAACACAGACTGTCCCAGCATCTTAAGAAGCCACAGTTAAAAGTCCATAACATTTTAGCACTGACACAATTAGTCAATGAATCCATCTGCCATATTTACAGAAAGTTAGTCATTAAACATCATTTTAATTATCGTCCAAACAAGAATTTGTTATAAAAAGGTCAAACATTTACTGATTTCAGCTTCTAAATATGATGATTTGCTTCACTGTAAACCGAATAGCCTTGGATCGTGTACTGTCAGTAAGACAAAACAAGCTATCTGAAGATGTCACATCAGGTTTATGGAAATGGTGACGGACATTTTTCATGTTTTCTGACGTTTAACAACTAAGCCTATGGTTCTCAGCCTTTTTGGCTTGTTATCCCTCAAAACCATGTTATACTGGATAGCCAACTTGTAGCAAGTGCATGTAAAGAATGTTTGTTCCCAGATTGTTTCATTTTAAAACTTTGAGGTACCTAAAGATATTAAATTAGAGTAAATAGTGAAGATTATAAAAAGTCAGAAAAATAAAATAAATGTCATTTTGACTAAACAGTCAATTAATAGACAAAACAACAAATGAACTGATATTGAAAATCATTGCTACTTGGAGCACTGTAATGCTAAATTTAAAAACATACAGGTAGCACTTTCATATGTGACAGATACAATACTCAGTACACAGAGGCCAGTGACTGCTATGACAAAAACAAACAATTTATTTACAAAGCAGTAGAATTTCTTCATATACTTGCATGAGAGCAAGGTAGATATAATCCAGAATAAAAGATAACAATAAACAAACAGCCAAAAATAAGTAAATAAAATCAAATACTAAAAGTCTACGTGGGCCCAGGCTGGACAACGAAAGTAGGCCAGTGCAGTAGTATGTCTAAACCCAATCTACAAACAACGTCATACACATATATCAGTTCAAATAAAACTGGTTGACACCACTTCAGAGTTTTCTATGTGCAATAAGCTGAAGTGACTTGAACCACATAACAAACATGCAATTAAAATGGCTAACTTGCTAACAGCCTCTTCTCAGCCACAGCCCAAAGCACCACAAGAGTAACCATGGACATAAATGGCCCATACAGTTGGATAAATATATCAACTGTGATAAAAAGCCTGGGAAAACCAGTGGTTGGATTTTCTAATAATTCCTCTCTTGGACACTAAATAAAACAAAAACATTGAAATAAATACACAGAAACAGTATAAATATTTGATAAATTTACAAAATAAAAATAAGTAACAACTACTGTACCTTGTTATAGAGTTCCCACAGTTCCCTCTTCCATCAGGGACATACAGGTAACAGGAATCTACATATTATAGAAGGATTTAAAAGGAATCATTGTAGTACTCTGTATACTTGATTCCTTGGCTGATATCAGTAAGCAATCACTCCAAGCAATGTTTGATGAATCCACATTTACACTTTAAATTCATAGCTTTGTAGACACTTAAAATAAGCCGACCAAATCAAACACCAAACAAAAGGCCAGATGACACTGCTCTCCCTCAAGTGTGCTCTGAACCAGGTAGAAAGGCCCACGTGAACTTCCAGCCCCTTTTTTATAAACTCCGCCCATTGTCTGGATCTAAAGGGAATCCTCCCTTTACCTTCCCCTCTACACATATACTGTATAATCTGATCTGTGATATTTGAATCTATAAAGAATAAGATTAAATCACTAGTTTCAAAACCCTTTCAAACAAGCTAATCATAAAATGAAAGCGTGTATACAAGTGCTTCAACAGATCAAATTCAAAATGAGAGAGACAGTGAAACTGCACAACAGGGAAAATAAAGTAAAAAGTAAAGGCCAAGAAATTGAAGGACCAAAAAAATGAGAGGATATGAAGCAGAGAGAGCTGAATTATAACCTACTCCTGGAATCAATAATCTTGCGAATCACAGCCTAAGTGCACTACAGATCTTTTTCTTAACTGAGCAGAGAGAATGACAAGTATTAAGCACAGCTTGGCGATTTATGAGGCTCTCACACTAGAGAGCAGAGAAAGATGTGGGGGCAATCCTCGCTATGCCTGGAGAAGCAAAGGGACGAGCAAGGGCAAGCTGGAATAAGATAAAGCAAGGATAAACCTTAGGCCAGAACATTTTTATCCTATTTGTCTGCTTTTTTAAACAAAGGCTCCCAAACCCACACCTTACTGTCATTTATTTAACAGATAGCTTCCCCTCTGACTTTTACTAAGTCTAAATAACAGTAAAAACAAAGGGATGTGATGCACTACAACAGGCTCTGTCCAACACTGAAGTGCTACCATGCATGTAGATGCCACATAGCTTGAATGAATTTTTAATAATGTTTTGGTGTAGAGAGAAGATTTTGCTTCACTTTGACCAGTGCAAGCAGAGGCAGTGAGGGACACAATGATCCAACCTGACAGGTGCAATAGTTACTGTACTTTTCCTTAGAATAGTTTCACCTCACACTTGTCTAAAGTAATTTGGTCTAGACAGCAGTCAACTAACTTGACTGTAAGTAACAGGCGTGAGAGAAGGAATAAATCAGTGCAACACACTATGGGTTTTCCTCACCATTGCAGTGAAGTCCATACACAGATAAGACGTGCCATTTTACTTATGCTAGATCAATACGAACTCCCACTACTCCCCATGCACATCTCCTCCATGTATTAGGAAAGCTGGATAAGCCCCGCTGCCAGTTTTTCCCAGTCATATTGCCACTCAGGGTATTGCAACCAAAAATCCTCCTACAACCCAGGGACTAATCTAGATGGAGGTTTACTATTATAAAACTTTCCAGCACCCGGGCCCTAAAAGTGAGTTTTATTACCGTTATCATACTAATGTAAAGTTTGTCGGCCGAGTGGGAATGCACATGTGCAGCAAAACTCACTTGGCTCATGCACCCCAGGAGGATCCGAATGTATCGAATACAAATTGGATCACATTTCACCTGCTTTCAGTGCTTTTATAGGTCACTGACCACACACTGCTGCCAGTATCAGGGACTAATCAATTAATCATATGCTGCAGGGAGAGATCAAACCTCCAGCCCTGTATCTTCCTAAACTAATAACTGTACAACTGAGCTCATTATCTGTTGGGGTCAATATAATTCTTGTTGTCGACATCTACAGTATAACCATGTAACCAGGCATCACCTAAACACACGACGGCACTAAGAGCAGGCAAAATGTGATACAAGTGGCATTACGACCATAGAGGTGAGCTGCATCACCTCCATTAGATGCAGGGTTGTTGGGGTTTTTTTCGTTCATTTAATCAGATTTGAAGCTGGCTAAATATTGTTGCTTGTTCTGCATTAAAGGATCACTTCTTTGACAGTTGTTTTGTACTGGTCCTGGTTTTTGAGATGACTTTACAGAAAAGAAGTGACTCCCAGTGGAGGACATTCAGCCCAGGACACTGAATTTGTTACTTGAGACACATTTAAATGCAAATTCTCTTCTCTACATTATTGATTTCTACAGTCTCTACACTGGAGGATGCTGTTGCTTTTTTGCATACTTTGCAGTTCTTCTCTACATGTGGGACAGTAACAAAGCTTTTTAAATCAATAACCTCATTATCATTATCTAAAGATCATTTGTCTTTATGCCCTTTTGCTACGTTAACTGCCAGTGCTGAAGGATTAGCACACTTTTAATACTGTCTGCAACAGATGGCCATTTTATGCTTCAGAGATCTAACTTGCAAGTAAATGATAGAAATTGGTTTTGTGTCCTCTCTCAAACAGCCTGAAGACCATCCTGAAGAAGAAACTGTCAGGTGACGTGGTCAACATATCAGGCATCCCTCTTTCCGGCCGAGATGTCCACCGCGTGGCCTTCTACCTGCAGAGCAGCAGTGACGCGGTGTCGGCCGTGGACCTGAGCTTCACTGAGCTGCAGGATGAGAGCTTAACCTCAGCCGCTTGCCAAAACTCAGCATACTAGCTGTCAATGGTAACCGTCTGACAGTAGCCATCCTGAAAGACCTGACAGACATAGTAAAAGACCCCAAGAGGTTCCCCAGTCTGGCCTGGATAGACATGGGCAACAATGTCGATATCTTCACTGTGCCACAGCCACTACTTGTGGCCCTGCGGCGGCGCTTTGGCTTGCGTAGCAGCCTTCCCACCATTTATGAGTACAGTGAGGCGCAGGCATTTGGTGGCTACAACCCAAACATGGAGACTTCTGTGGAGGAGCCCAGTCTGTATGAGGAGGGAGAGGAGGATGATAGAGAGGAGGAGGAGGACAGGCTGGAACTTCAAGCCTGGGGCTTTGGAGAAAAACACATGTCAAAAAATATTCCGCTGCACTTCTGTGGAAGGTGATTTACCAGAGTAGCTTTCTTTTAGACTGGTAGCCCCTTACATCTCTCTGTACTGTATCACCTCACCCAAAGTCTGGCCTCTTGTGTTGTGGCAGAAGATACTTCCAGTGACCCACATGTTTCTGAAAATAACTCTTGTGTGTTCCTGCGGATGTTCTGACCTCAGAAACTCTGAAACGCATCTCAGACAGTAAGAGTATATTTATATGAATCGATTCAACCATTGTTTATCCAGGACAAGTTGAATTGTACATGAACTGAACAGGCTTGCTGTTAACCAGTGCTTCATGTTCCTAAGGTTTCATGCTTTCAAACCTTGAAGCTTCCCATTTGTCTGGAATAGTTGTGGGTTAAGTGGCCTGCTCAAGGTCACCTCAGCAGTGGCTGTTAAAGAAGGAAGGCGGGTTACAAATTTGCATTTCCCCATCACATTTATCCAGCTGGTTTGGCTTCTCTGATGACTTTGCCCTTGCTACTCCTTTCCTGTGAAAAATCTAAGTTGAAATCAACTAAATATCCTACTTAAGAAATGCATCAGTTTAACATCAAAATATGTTTTTGCTGTGATATATGTTGTATGTTTTTAGTCAGAACTCAACTGCAGGGAAATTATGTTAACATAAAATAATGCTTCCGATTCTTCCTGGATATACTATATATTCAGGAATTATATTAACATAACAGGTGAATTGTGGTACCAGACAGTGATGCATACTGAAGAGTACTCACTTTCATTGAAATTCTGAGTGCCGATGCTGCTTCAGTTCATGTTGATTTACTGATGCTGCACCCACATGGAGAGCAGTCTCGGCCTGATAGGCACATGCAGGACTGCAGACAACACACATAATGTTTGGGCGTGAGCTGCTGATGAACTGATTGCTGCTTCTGTTGGGCCTCATTAAGTCCCTTCAGTCACAGATGGCGAGCAGATCTTTTTTCTTCCAGCAAACAGGACTAGCCCCACATAATTTTGTCCACTGTTGATTCGTGAATGATTCTATTTATAAATGAGACCATAAGCAACAAGAAGGATGCCCACTCCAGCTTTGAAAGGCATCCACAGAATTGACAATGGAAGGAATCATAAACAACTCTGCCTGTAGCTTCTCCTTTATGGTGCTACGGGATTTAAATAAGTCTTTGTTGTGGTGTGGATAAGCTGCAACTGTTTCCTTTTGAGCAGTTTAAAGTTTTGAAAAACTGGGCACTTCACTGTAGTGTAACATCAGACCCCGAAGACACACATCATGTTTACATGTACGTTACAGTAATATTCCAATGAATTTGAGATTCTTTACTGGGGAGACTTGATACAAATTGTGCATGTGAACATAATATCACAAGAGCCCATTTTCTCCTGCCTACACGTTAATGTGGTTCTGTTTTCATGGTGTTATTCAGGAAAATCTGTTTATTTGTATTTACAGGGACATTAAAAACAGGATGCCTGGTCTGTGTGTGTGTGTGTGTATGTTTGTGTAAGAGCATAATAAGAGTGTGTGCCTGTGGGCATCTGTGTGTTGTCATACAGAGTAAATTACTACCTTTGATCGCAGAAATGAAATGTTTACTCATTTGCACTTTAAGGACAACGCGTCCCTGAATACACAGGCTTTGTTGTTGTGGGATGTTGCTGATATAAAAACTACTTACTGAGTGACCTACATCTAAAATAAATGTTTTATCTCTTTATCTCATTATTATTTCCTTTCTTGATTTAATAGACAGTTCATTAGCCAAATCACTATCATGATAAAAAAAAAACTCTATTGTAAATGATTTTAAAGTTCATGGCTGATGAAATCATGGCTACAGTAGCTTTTAAAGTAAAAGTGATGTATGTGTCTGCTGTTGTTTCACAAATAAACTTGATTTGAATAACATGTGCCTTGTGTGGGCTCTTTTGTTTAAGTCTTAAGTAAATAACAATTTTGGCCAAAACTTGAAAACACTGCTGATATTTCATGCCAACAGCAACGCAGAAATAAACTAGAATTACCGCTTTGCTGGTGTATGCCTCCACCACCCATGTTGAATTCACTGGTATGGGATAGAAGTGAGGTCACAGTGACCTTTGACCACTAAAATTTAATCAGTTCATCTTTCAGTCCAAGTGGACACTTGTGCCAAATTTGAAGATATTTCCTCAAGGTGTTCCTGACATATTGTGTTCACAAGAATGGGATGGCAAAACCTGGAAACACAATGCCTCCGGCAGGGGATATTGCCCTTTAGGTGAGGGACAGAAAACCAAAACAATTGCAGACGTGAGTGATAATTCTCATTGTATTCATCACTACGAGTGACCCCTCTCTCACTGCGACTAGCCATTTGAGCCATATAAAAGTATTCATTAGTGCAGCTTCAAAAATGAGGCCTATATTTAGTTTAAGACTGTACAGTATGGAGCCTGCTGTAAAACAAAAGTATATAGCACTATAGAGCATAAGGAACTCACATCACATTTAACACCCCTCCAGGAGATGTCATATTTTACCTGGGTTTTATAGCATGGCAGTCTTTTTGAAAATGATCACTGTGAATGGAAAGATGACAGTTTAATCTGTCAGTGTGTTCATATTATGATATATTAATTAGACGAACAAAGACAGTTGGGACTTCAAATCAAATCAAATTAAATTTTATTTGTATAGTGCCAAACCACAACAAAAGTCATCTCAGGACACTTTACAAAGTAAAGTCTAGACCTTACTATTATCACTATTATTATAGAGGAAAACCCAACAAATCCCCCTTGAGCAAGCACTTGGCGACAGCGGTGAGATAAAAGCTCCCTTTAACAGAAGAAACCTCCGACAGACACCGGCTTGTGGGGGGCGACCTCCTGCCTCGACCGGTTGGGGTGAGTGGATAGAGGAGAGACAAAAGAAGAAAAGCAACAAGACTTGATCTTAAATTTTATCAAACATAATTTAGGCATTAAAGCTGTGAATGTTAGAAATTATACTCAAATTTCAGGGACACTTTAGAGATAGACTGATCAGTCTGGGGTTTGGAGAAGCTGGTTTCCTTTTCAGGGTTTAATATTGTGTGTGGGTGAACATGGGGCTCTGCACAGACCTGTCACAGGCAGAACAATACTATCATCATGTTGACTTGTGGTGGCTTTGCTGGCGAGGCAGTTTTATGTTTGTATTGGCAGAACCGGGGGCCATCCATCTTCAGTCCCTGTCCATCACAACAAGCAGAGGAGTGTCAGATAACAGAGGATCCTGTTCTGGTTTGTACCCGAAGCTGAGACAACCTGCAGACATTTAGCAGTTCAAGTCCTTCATGTCAAAGCAGTGGACAGTAACAAAGCATAATGACTCAAGTCATGTACTTCACATTTTTTGTACTTTTGTCTTAATTAACATCATGAATGCAGGACTTGTACTGTAAGTAAAATATTTCATGCTTCTTCCACCGCTGTACTTTTTCAAAATATTTCAGAGGGAAATATCCTACTTTTTACATGTACCTAAAATAATGTATTCCAAAACTATACGAGAAAAACAACCTTGTTTGAGCGTGATGACATAATTTCTAAAGATGCCACTTTCTGAAAGGGAAGGAGGTAGCAGAAGTTCCTCAACATCTCAAACAGCATGTAATTCTTCAGCAGAAGTAAAACGAACAAAATCCCCAAAAGTGGAGAAACTGGGTCGTTGTGAACAGAATGCATTAGCAGAGTTTAAACTGACAAACATTAGTGATCGATTCCAAGCTGCTTTTATTTCATTATTGTTACTGTTGTTGCTAGTCCTCATTGTCCATGCTACTGTTTTGAGTATATCACACCTATCAGTCTCTGCTGTCAAGGTCAGGGGCCAACCCCGAGCTGTTTGTCCCAACAATCAACTATTAACATAAACCATGATGAACAGTAAAACAAAGGGAAAGTTTAACTTAACCATAACACAAGGATGCTGCTGTTCTGCTGCCCGAATTTCTTCATTTATTTGGTTTAGTTTTATTTTTCTTTAATATGTACTGAATGTCAGTCTGCATAGAGTTGGATTCACCCGAACTACACACTTTCACACAATCAACTTAACTGAATAATCCCTTTGTCGCTTTTGTTAATGTCTGTTGTCTCGTATTCTATGTTATGTCCTTTGTCCTATAAATGTGTTATTTTGTGTTGCAATAAAAAAAGCTAAAAAGCTGCTTACATGTTAACTTATATGTTAACTCATCAATAATTTAACCCCAGGCTTTGATTTCGAATGCACATCTCTTACAGGTACTGTAGTATTTTATCATTGCTAAAGAGTTTTGTTGATCACTGCTCACATGAAAGTGGTAACAGAGAATGTAATTAAGATTTATCAGTTCAAAGTTTGGGTACACATTTTTCAGATAGATTACACTCCTTGTTTACTAAATCAAGGGTCCAGCTGGAGTTGTTACTCACTGGCGTCAGTGTTTGAAACCATGCAGTAATTGCTTACAGGTTAGTACACACTGTGCTACAGTCATGTAGGAGGCAGGGTGAATGTTTTCATTCATTCTTCCTTTTGTTTGTTCTTTCTGGCAAAGTGAACCTCTCACTGCAGCTTCTCTTCTTTTCTGACAAATGCACTTTGTGCTGGCACCTATTAAAAGTATCATCAAGGGTCATAAAGTATCAAGGGTAAAAGTGCTTATTCTTTTGTGGGGGGCTGTGACTGATTCATGATCATATTTATGGGATTATTAGGCTCATAATACTTATGAATTAGAGTGTAGGCTACATTATACTGTTGCAGCTGCTTGAGGTGGAGCTTACTATTTTATATATAGCTAGTCCAGTGGTTCCCCAGTGGCCAGGCCCCCCCCCACAAAGGGTTCCCAGATGAAGCGGAGGCGTCTTGAGATGATGAAAGAAAGAAGAAAAAGAAAACTCAGAGCTTTACTGCACAAACTTGTAGTAAATGTTTGGACTTGTCTCTAATCTTTGCCTGCTGTGAAAACATAGATATTTTTGTTCATGTTTGGACATCAAACATGTATTTAAATGAGACTATCAGAGAGGTTTACAGAGGACATTTCCCTTCAGTGGTACTACAAACAATTTAGATGTCCTCAGACAACTCAGATAAGAGGCCCCAATAAGACACTGCATTTTGCTCGCTTGTCTGTTTTTTTGTTTTGTTGTGTTTGTAAAGGGCCACAAGCAAAAAAAAAAAAAAAAAAACTGTGCACAAGGACCAAAAAGTACAGTATTTCCCTTGGAATTATTTAATGTGTTTGGTTGCACAGTAAAATACATTTATTATAAAGGTATATGATTTATACACAAAGACAAACACACTTTTATCTATGAAATCAAATATACAGTACATGAAACAAACAAAGAGTTTGTACAAAGAGGGAGGAGGCTAAGAGCTTAAACAACAGCCTGTCCAAGAAACTTAAGACAATATTAGTAGAATTACATTTAAAAAGGGGCAGAAGGAGGATTAAACAAGCAGCAGAATAGAAGGTTGCATAAGATGCAATTACACAAGTACTGTACAGTGCAGTGAATTAGTAAATGTACTTTCCACTGCTGCACAATGACACAAAAACAAGTTACTCTGTAAGAGCTATTTGAGCAAGTAAGTGAGTAGCTATTATTATTGCCTAAATTTTAAAAGCTCAGATGTGCCAACAAAAAAAAACTGTGTTCACCACAAATTTAAATGCTTTTATAAACAGTGAGGGGGCAGATTGCTCTCTGTTGTAAAGCACACATGCCCCATCCAGTGGCAGCATTTGGCAGAGCAGCTCCAGACGCCAGAACAAGAAGCAGCTGAATGGTTTTGTACAACAGGAATTAAATCTTTCATTCATCTAAATCAGCATTCAACTAAATATCTCTCACCTGAACTAGAGCACAAAAGAGTAATAACACGAAATTTGTGTTTGCTGAAAACCCCTGAGCTGCAGTATTTTTTTATTTAATTCTGGGTAAAACATGGAGATTTACTGCCATCCAGCCCATGTCATAGTATATCCTAAGTCTTAAAGTTAGCGACTAGACTTGGTTGAGTTTCTTTAAGACGTTTCAGTAATGAACAGTCTCAAAGGAAGTCAAATGAATAAAAAGTTTATGTAAGAGTAATTTTGAAAACAAGAAGAGAACTGAGCTCACAAACAACTCTTTCATTTAGTTTGTTCATGATTGACAACATCCAGCAAATGCATGTGCCTTTTTCATGTTTCACAATCATAGAAACAGATGTGTTGGACCCTCTCCCAGAGTTTTAAATCCAAAGATTCTTCAGTTTGAACTTGTCATGTGCTTCTTGTCCATAAAATGTGGGGAGTCTAGAAACCTTGGCCTTGGATTTGCTTACTCATTTGTTGCAAAATAAAAGACAGCACACTTGATTCGTCCCAGAAAAACAGGGTTTCCAGTAAACTGATTAATTTTAAAATGCAATTTCTACGAAATGGGCACTTATCATCATAAACTGCATGGCTAGGCACAGAGTGGAGGAGTGGATCGATGAAATAAGCTGAGCTGAGCAACTGGTGAACATGGGCTCATGTTCATTATCTCTGAGAACACAGCACAGTTAATAATGGAAGGCAGTGTGGGAAAATAAAGTTTATTTAACATATCAACTCTCAGATGTGTATGGAAATGCACAGGTGATGGATTAGTTTAAAAATTAATCGATAGCAATTCTGATGATTAGGTTTTTAAGTGGCCAATTGAGCAAAACTGCACAAAAACTCTCTGTTGCCAGGTTGTCAGCTTTTGCAAAATTTATGAATTTTTGACAATTGAACAAGCAAAGCAAGCACAATGAAGACAACCCCGTGGACTAGAAGAAAAAGATAAGATATGGGATTTTCTCTATGTTGTCTAATCTTATAGCCAAAGATTAAATTCCTCCTCATCTCAAAACTGAGCGCTTTTGTTACTTCACATAAATGTTCAGCCTTCACTGTGTAGAAGGACGTGTGAGCAGAAACTGTTTCACCTTCATCCAAGGAAGAGGAAAATATTATTTTTGCTCAGTTTAAATTCGGGTTTTTGACCTCACAAATACTTTGATGTGTTAATATCAGACACTAATTATTATGCACATAGGCTGACCAGGAAGTGCTGTTTTACATTGCTTTCAGCTAAAAGAGGTTACTTCTTTCACATCATATTTTCTGTTAATCCTGAGAGGAAACTGAAACACAGTCTGAGTAACTGAATAAGAATGGGCAGGAAAGGAAAAGAAAGCAGATGGGATAGGTCCGAAGCAGACAGAAAACAAAAGGATAAACAAGGAGGAGACAATAACAAGATAAACATTAACTGCTTTCACAATGGGTGTGTGTGTGCCTTTGTATTACTTACTTTATGGGGACTGAAACCTGTTAACACACTCACATTGTGAGGACTCCCATTGTGGGGACAAGCCTCTGGTCCCCACAAGGAAGTCACTGAATTTTAGGGGGCTTTAAGGTTAGGGTTAGGCAAGCAGTGGCTATGGTTAAGGTTAGGATAAGTCTACAGGAAATGAATGTAAGTCAATGTAATGTCCCTACAAGGAATGAAAAGGAAGCGGTAGAATGTGTGTGTGTGTGTGTGTGCATCTTGTCCTCACATGGAGAAGATGTGGGATCCTCACAATCACATTACCAACAGCTGTGGAGAACAGGCGTCTCATTCCCAGAAATAACCCATTTCCTATGAAGCATCAAAGTGATGTTTCAATATTACATCTTCTGATGTGTCGAAATGTGTTAAAATGGACAATCAATGGCTGACTAGTCAGTGTTAAAGCATGTTAGTGGGTAAAATGGGGCCAAAAGAGTCTGGGAACCACAGTTACAAAATTTCACATTGTGGTCATTGCATCAAAAATTTGATCAAACTCAAGTGTGGCACATGTTTTCAGAAAGTGTCCCAGTTGTTACTGGAGCCACATTCTATCAAAGAAATAGCTGTTATGTAGCTCTGTGGATTATCCACAGCAATGCCCATGAAAGAGATGCTGCTGTTTAGTCTTTGTCACTTTCACAAACATAATTTCATTCATCTTCATTTTATTTTGTTAGAAACAAATCTCAGAAATTGATACCGTGTGTTAAAAACTGGGAGAATTATAAAAGAAAGTTTGCGTTGCTTGACACCACTAGAGGTAAGAGAAAAGATATGGTTCTATTTTAGGTGCACCAGCCCGCTAAGGTGAAGTCACATCCACGTCTACCCTAATGGTAATGTGGCTGCATTTCTCACATGTGAGAAAGAGTCTGTACATTTCCATCCTCCACTACAACTTTGATGTTTGAACACTGTGGTGAAATATTCAAGCCAAGATACGTAAAGTATGTCACCACTGGTCTGAAGGCTTCTGCAGATCTTCTAATGTGGCTGTGTGAAATACAGTCAACACAGTAGGGTCGTTTTTTGATGTACCGGAAATGGTAGAAAATGTACGAATACCACAGGCAACAGCAAAACACTGTGTTTTGGACAACTCACACAGAACTACCTTTCTCCAATTTTTGTGAACAAAGAATGCTGTGTGCACATTTTGAGCTGCCATAAATGGGACTTGGAGGAGAAGCTGGTGGGGTAAGCAAGCGAGCAGCTGGTCCTGTGGTGTAGCCGCAACAACCTGGAGCTGAACACGCTCCAAACAGTGGAGATGACAGTGGACTTCAGGAAGAGCCCCCCCATCTCACCCCCCTTACCATACTTGACAGCACTGTATCAGCAATGAAGTCCTACAAGTTCCTGGGCTCCACTGTCTCCCAGGACCTGAAGTGGACATCCAACATCAGGACCACCACCAAGAAGGCACAGCAGAGGATGTACTTCCTGTGCCAGCTCGGGAAGTTCGACCTGCGGTCATTGGTCTCATCCGAGATGGCGACAAGTCCTCACACCCCGGACACAATCTGTTTGAACTCCTCCCCTCTGGACAGCGTTACAGGTCACTGTGCACTAAGACAACCAGGCACAGGGACAGTTTCTTCCCCCTGGCTGTCACCCTGATGAATACTTAACCCATGACAGTATGACTGGACAATAACCCTCAGTGCAATACCTGTGTATATATATTCATTGTACAGATTATACAGATCCATACAGGTCTCTATTTTTAGCTACTCTATTTTTATTCTATTTTTATCTCATTTCCTAATGAACATTCCTTTGCCTGTTTGCATTGTTTATTGCTTGTTTATACTGTTTATTTTGTTATACCACACAGCCTTATGTTGGTATATTATTTACTTGCCCCTTGCTGTTGCCTTGCATGGGGATATGTACATGCACATTGAGAGCCACTGTACCAGAATCAAATTCCTTCTGTTCAACACACCTGGCCAATAAAGCTGATTCTGATTCTGATTATGCATCATTGTGGGTGTGACAGACACTTTAAATGTGTTTTTGCACCACTGCCACAACAGTTCCATAACTTATAATAAATACAGTAAGAACATCATGAGCAGAGATACTCTCCTGCGGCTCGGTTATGTCTTGGATGATGATGATAATAATAATAATGTGATGGCGGTATCTGCTGCCCCCTGCGGGCTCACAGCGGGTACTGGCGATGTAATAAAAGAAAAGCCCTCTAATCTCCGAAGCACAGACTTCAGCCTTGTGTGTATACTTATGCACGGGCGCATACACACGTGTGCACACATAGGCTAGATATGGGCGTAAAGAACGAATAACCGCACTAACCTATGATACGAAGCCAAATAAAAATAACTCTGCATGCGTTGGGTACAGAGGTTATGCTTGATTTGTTTCCTCTGACTGAAATTAGACCATGAAAAAAACACAAAAACAAATAATATTTGTGGAAAAAAGCAGAAAACCTAAAATACTTGATTATACAGTGAACCAAAATCGAAGCAAGGCTGTTGGAGCTGAGCGCTTTGCTTGACACACTTCCTGGTAGTGAAAAATTAAACTAATTCGCTAAAATAAACTGTGAAATAAGCCGTGAAAATAGCATGGTGCGTGTGCGAGGCTCACATGCGTCTCTACGCACGGCACCGAACGTCCACTCCAGTGATGTGTTAAAGCGGATTGGCTGCTAAAGATGCAAGCGTCTGTGTGCGCTCTGTGGTTGGTTGCGGCTCTCCTGGCCATTACGTTATGCTTACTCCACATACACAGGCAGCTTGTGAGAGGGAAGACGTAATGGTATGATTCCTTGTGTCTTTGCAATGGTCGTCGTTCTGACATTACTCGGCAAATTCCTCTAACCGGAGGTACAATGAAGGTATGTGACTTCCATCTGCAATTCCTTTTTGATTTGGATCCATTTCTGAGGTTCCTTCCTTGTGTTTTGCGCATGGTGCTGCACCAACAAGCAGGGAACACATCCATCCCAATGTTAATTAATTTCATTTGGGTGCACATACTTCAACAGGCTTGCATTTTAATGTAACATCGACTGTTTTAATTTGAACTTGTCATCAGAGATCTACTTATCTACTGCCCTTCCAGCTTGTTATTTTACTGGCGAGCTTGCAAACCTGGAAATACCTTTCCTGCATCTTCAGCCGTCCTGAGGAACAGCGTGTACAGCGTGTAGCCTTTTAATGGGCTTGATTTGATCCCAGTGTGATAGTTTAGTGGAATAAAGCCGCCGGAGCGACGTCCATTCACACTGTAATCCGCTTTAATGAGAGAGAGAGAGAGAGACTGCGGCCAGAGAGTGAATGAGTGCGGGAATGTTTGGGACACGTCTCGGTGTATACAGAGAGGATTACCTCTCAGGTCTGTGGAGGTTCACCGGAGTCTCCTTCCTGTCAGTGGAGGGTGTGTGTGTGTGTGTGTGTGTGTGTGTGTGTGTGTGTGTGTGTGTGTCGTAACAGATAGGCTGCAACACAAGGAGGAGAGGTGAAGATGTTGTCTGGCAGCTCGAGCCCTGGACTGATAATGATGAAGATGATGGCGATGATGTCATTGATTTTGTGGTGGCAGTGACGGTGAAAGTTGAGGTGCAGGCAGCACTGCCACTACAACAATCACCAGCATCATTAGCGCTATGTACACACAGCATGCAAAACTAACACGCTTCTCTTTGAGGCGGTTCATCAGCTGTTATTTCAGTTAAACAGTTTGTGATTGGGTGCATCCAGTTTGAAGCTGCTTCCGTGCATTACTGAAAGATGGAAATAATATAACTAGAGGTGCAAAAAAACTACATTCACTCACATAGACCGCACTGTCTTGAAGTGCAAGCGAGTATTTATTCTGTTTCACTTTTACCCCACTACATTTCTAAATGAAGTATTGTAGTATATGTACCTAGACAAAGTGTTTCCCTGAGGAGCAACTGGAAGCTAGATAGCTGGGAACTTTGCTCTGGCTGGTCAGGTAGTTTTTATCTAAATATCCCACATTCTATGGAGCTAGGAGGAGAAGAAAATCTGTCTGCTGGTCTTTTATTTTGTTCAAATAAGTTATTTTCACCCCATTCTCAAACAACACTTCTTGTAGGAATGTGGACCTTCTCTTGAGGTTTGAATTCCACTTTGGGCGTTCACTGTAAAAATGATGGCGTCCCTTAGTTGGCTACTTATCTGACCAGAAGACTGGGGAACTCTCTCTCCTCTGCACTGTATAATCATTAAAGTATTTCTACAGGTGCAGTTGGTTACTTTTTACTACTCGTACACAGTGCAACAGTAACGTAACACTGAAAAGATCCATTCTTCACAATGAATAATTCACTTTTGATACCAATTTTCTGCAGGTATGTCAGTAAAATTGTATATGCAGTAGGTGAATCATTTGGATACCAGAGGTGCTTAAGTCTTGTGGACGGTGCAGTTAATTTACCTAAGGCACATCATCATCACTGTGTCCCAGGCAGAGAAACAAAATGGACATGGTGTTTCATTGACTAATCGAGTTTAAATAGAAAAGCAGCTTTTCTGCCCCTGTGGAACGGAGCGTGTCAGCCGAAATCTCAAAATGGGAAAGACTGCCATACGGTACAGAACGTGTTACGAATGCCACTTTAATCTGGGACAGACCAACTATGATTTGGTCTGTGGTATTTTAACATTTTTAACTTTCCATTCAGAATCCTTTTAACATTTAAATTCACCATGGTCAGTAAACACATCATGTATGCCATGGACACAAATACTCACTTATCCCCTACTAAAATGATGAGATGCAGCACATTGGATCATACTTCATTCCAAATGAGACTAAGCTCACCTGGGGCCTGACTTCTAAAGTGGATGAAGAAGTCTGAAGCTACAGTATAAAGAGTGTCCAGAGGGCATAGCAGATTTCTGGTGGTGGCTGTAAAACAGTCCACTCATGTTTTGATATTGCAGGACAATCTCCTTCAGCAGCCAATATGTGTTTGTTTTGCTGCACCAGAAGTATTCTCAAGGATAAATCCTTCCCAAGTCGTCGTGTGCCTTTGGAGTAAACTGTGTAAATCTGTTATTTCACTAGCAGGGACCTGCCCTCACTAACTACAAATGGAAGTAGAAGGTTGAATGAATGAACTATAAGGATACTGAATGCTTGTGTATATGTGGTTGCTTGTGCGTAACAAAAAGCAGAAGCAAAAGAGTGGAGGCCTTAGTGGGTTAAATAGTATGAAAATGGAAGAGGCGTGGTTCGGGTCAGGTCCCGCTCCCGAACTTCAGATAATTACATTATCTGGATTTGGCACAGAGAAATCCATCCTTAACTGATAACAGCTTGAGTTTTATGTGTTTGTTTGCAGGCTCTAACTGATGCCATTAAATCATGCACTTCTATTTTAGTATGTGCAATTTAAATGACTTATTCCATTTAATCTTATGGGTGTTTAAATGACTTATTCCATTTAATCTTAGCATTTCAGACGAACAAGAAAAGGTGTTCAGTTAATTTGTTTATTTTCTCTGACAGTCTGAACAGCCAGGCTGCAGAGTTCACTTTTCACAGTGTGAGTGACATTTTGACTTGATGCCAGAGCAGACAAAAAGAAATGAAATGTGAGAGAGAGAGACTGGAAGGTGGAAAGATAGGTAAAGACGGACCTCGCTACAAAATGTATGATCGTGCACGGCTGTTTATTCTCCGTTCGGTACATATCAATGTATTGTCATTCTTGCAAATGCATAGACAATATATACTATGAAGTGACAGAACCATCAGACATATTCTTTGATCGTTTATACATATGTAGCTATAATCTTAACAGAGTACATGATCCAGTGTTCACAGCATGCCTACGTTACCCACAATGCAAGTCAAGCCCAATGTGTGTATGCTAGTGGCAGTTAATTTTACCTGGAGCCAGAGGAGATGATCCAGGAGCGGACTGCAGACGTCTTTCTAACTCTACCTCCAGATTTGTTTGTACTTTTTAAACTTCTAGTCTACAGACCAGACCAACATAGACTGAAGGGACATCACATGATTTATCAGACATCCCACATCTCTTTCTGGAACCTTAGTGGCTTTATACAACTTTTATATATTAGTACTCCCCCAAACCAGTAAACAAACACTGTCTAAAATCAGTGGAGCTCTCCTTGTAGTGATATCATCTGCCAAGATAACCTGTTGCTGTTATAGCTTCAAACGTTTTCACGCTTCCTCGACAGCCAAACGTGACAGGTTTTCACAGGCTGTGTACTTGTGATAGGTAAACCGAACTTTCTAGGTAACTTTAGATGTAGTATTGTTTCCCTCATGGATAATAAAATTTATCAAGTAATATTAAAGTTAAAATTACACAAATGCATCAGTCAACTCTATCTGGTTTTGTTTGGAGTTCTACTTAGCATCAGCGTCAGACTTCTTGACATCACACACATAGTTCTTGTTGAATGCTCCAGTATCTACATGACCCATTTACAGTAGGCCCCCTGTGGTTCGACACATCCATGTTGATGCGGTCTTTGAGATTTGATCCTCAGAAGCTGATTTTATGAGGTCACTGTTCAGCCATACAAGGCCTGAGCCGGTGGGTCTCTAAATCTGTGCCTCAGTAACTTTTTGCTACTTTCCCCTTTTAATAGCTTCATGCTTGTTTTGAGGGCGACACGGTGAGCAGTGATTAGCCAGAAGGACCTGGGTTCGAGCCCCAGCCGACCAAGTACCTTTCTGTGTGGAGTTTGCATGTTCTCCCTGTGCTTGTGTGGGTTCTCTCCGGGTGCTCCAACTTCCTCCCACAGTCCAAAGACATGCATCTTAGGTTGACTGGTGACTCTAAATTGCCCGTAGGAGTGAGTGTGAGTGTGTGTGGGCGTCTGTCTCTGTGCGTGAGCCCTGTGATAGGCTGGCAACCTGTCCGGGGTGTACCCCACCTCTCACCCAGTGTCAGCTGGGATAGGCTCCTGCCCCCCTTCCCTGATCCCCTTCAAGATAAGTGGTATAGATAATGGATGGATGGATGTTTGTTTTGAGCACACTGGAGCTGGATTGTTTGCTGATCAAATTCCAGCAGCAGTGTGAGCCATATCACAGTTATTTGGCCAAGACCTGACACCCAAGGGTGGCTGAAATGACAAAAATCAGACTGTAGAGAAACTATAACTGATGCAACCAAAAATAAAACTCTGTACTACATGTGATGTTTGCTCTTGTCACTTGTTTGTTCGGGACTCCCTGCCTGCACAGCTTACAGTGTGTTAATTGAAGTGACAGAGGGAACTTGTGCTGCTGGCCTCAAGCCAGGAACGACTGATTTTTATGAGCAGACTGCAGCGGCTCCTCATCCTGGAGAATGCAGTAAATATTTCTTTTAGTGGCTTCGTTCTCAGACAAGGACAGCTGTGTCTGAGCATCACTTGAAGTTTAAGCCTCAGGTGAATAATTCAAATTGTTATGCATCATGGCCCTCACAAAACTAAAGGCATTTATCATGATAAAGTGAAGAAATTTAACTGAGAACAATCAGACATACATTTAATACAATCTATCAAGAGCTGAAACCAAATATAGCACAAAAAGCATTTTACAATAAAATAGAAAATAAATCATGTTGCTCAAAAGTGATCTATATAAAAAAAAAAATCCAATCGCTTGTGACATTATGAAAATGGAGGCAATTCAACAAAACTAAAAACAAAGTTGGTTAAATCCTTATAATCAACTTCTTTGCCTAAAGTATCTTAAAGTTAGGGTTTTCCAATACACTTAACAACATAAATTCATAAAATATTAGTGGTGAAACATTTGGTTGATTGACAGGAAATTAACGATTTTAATCATTCTTAAAAACATGTTTGTGAATTATCAAGGAAAAAATATAAAAGTATTACCACCTTCAGATTTTCATACTTGATGATTTGCAGATTAGTATCTGTTTTATATCAACTACAAGTGGAAATCTTTTAGGTTTTAGTCTGTTAATGATCTGAACTTTGAAAACTCCTTCTGTCTGACTGCAGCAGGAGCAGATCCTCCTCCTCGTCACTGGAGCTCCACATATAGTCCCTGTTTTCCTAAGGTTACATAATGAATCCCTAAGCAGATGGGTGAGGCCAGATCACAGGGTGTTTGTGACAAGTCCGAGCAGAGCACTCCCTTAAGACGGGATGTGGCAGGACCCTGTGAATTCCATTGTTTTCCACATAGAGCCGGGAACCGCAGAGGGCTTACATTATGCCTGTGTCAGCTATTGATTGTGCAGGCTGGGGAACAACAGAAGACATATTCTCTCCTCACTGTCCTCCCCCTCCCTCCACCTCTCATCAATATGCACCCAGGAGCCATCACGCCATCTTTGCTCCCCGTCTCTGGCCTGTCTTGTGGTCAGCAAACAGGATCCGAGTCATTCTTTCTGTGTGGACACTTGCTTCAACTTTACAGACGGAGTACACTAACTTGAAGCTAGTTCGTGTGTTTCCTCAGGACATACAGAGGCAACATATCATTCACCTCTTGCCGATTGACCCTCACAAGCTTTATTTTGTGGTTTAGACCACTCGCATATCCTCTGCTTCTATGTAGCTTATGTGTTTATCAAATTGAGAGAAATAATGCAGTGACTGAGAAATTCAATCCACTGATCTTTAAGGAGAGCATCATTAATAGGAGCTTTTAGAGCCTACTAATGTATAATTATCCCTAACCTCAATGACTCTTAAAGAGCACTCTGAATAATGTGCTGCTCAGGATCTTTCTCTCTCCTCTCTCTTTCTCATTCATCCTCTTTCCGTACCAAGGGAGAATATCTCCTCGAGCCATTTGGCCTGTTACAGAGCACTGGGCCGCATGACACCGTATGGTTCAGATCAGTGTCATGATATTAATGAGAATGGTTTTTTTCTAATAGTGTGGTGATGCACAGAAAGGAGGTCAGTAAGATAACAATTTAAACAAAATGATGTAACTCCACACACAAGACATCACTGAATTGAATATTACTGTAAAATAATAATTTGCTCTGCCCTTCACAATCACAAATCTCGGCCCAGTTGTTGGGGGGACGGCATTCAGTCTTTTCTTGTTTAGATAATTTTCCTAAAAAGTGACTCGAGTTGATTATCAGTTAAAAATAAAAATAAAACATAATTTAATCATAAAGATGTATTGTTGGTAGCAGTTTGGATTTGTTGTCTAACATCTATACATTATATATAACACAATATTTACTATCTGTCAATAAATATTATTGCGTTAGTCCACCATAATTCAGCAATTTTGCCATTTTTTCTATACTAACATTATTATGGAAAGTATATTAAATTGAAATGTTTTTATTATTTGTTTTTAAATGATACAGTATAAATTTGTATAGTAGAAGAATATATTATTTCTATTTTATTTTAGTGGCAATCTCCAAGTTTCTGGTGTTTGAAAAGAGAATCAGCTGATGCAGTGTTTATATGATACTGTCAGAAAATGTGGATTAAGCTGAATTTTTCTAAGTTTAAAGCTGTTAATGGGGAATATAAATCATATTCACTGCATGTCTGTCACTGATGATAGAAGAGAGACGCTATAACAAGCCTTATTCTGCATTAGATCTCTCTAAAAGTGTGTGTTTGTGTTTCTGCTGTGAACTCCGTAGGCAGGGGCATCGTCCATGTGGGCATCATGCTGCGGTCTGCTGAACGAGGTGATGGGCACAGGCACGGTGCGGGCACAGCAGCCGGGGTTCGGAGCAGGGGCAGGGCCCTTCCGTTTTGCCCCCAGTGCTGGGTACTCTACCTACCCCCCCGCCAGCTCAGGGAGTGCTGGACAGCTGTGTAAGGCCTGTGGACTGGCCTTCTCTGTCTTCAGACGCAAGGTGAATAAGACTCGTGTGAGGGATGACAATTATCCAAAGACCAGCTGCTAAAAACAGTTCCATACAGTTAGAAATGACAGATTGTTAAGGCATATGACATCTGAAAACCATGCAGTGGTTTAGTCGATTAAATAAAGACCTTAGCAACTGAATATTTTCCAAAGCAAACTACATTTTGACTGACCACCAGCTGCCTGGTTTCACTTCATGTCAGTGAAAAATATAAAAATATAAAATAAAAATATAAAAATCAACTTTCAGAGACTGAGAAATTGTTAGAGTAATCCCTCACAGTCCACATTTAGCCAGAATTATATAACTATCGCATGCAGTTGTGAGAACGAGACTCTTCCTTCACGGTGCATTCATGGAAACATTCATAATTACTGAGTCACTTGCTGAACCAAGACATTTTAAATATAGAAAATAAAATATAGATATATTTTTTTTACACTTTAAGTAGGATTTTGAGCACAGGACTTATGTATATAGTCATAGCGGCACTTTCATGGGCTGTGCTCAGGATGGACACAGCTGAACGTGTCAAGAGTTCAGCTGCAGTGTATCTGCCTGGCAGTCCGACTCACCAAGACACCGATGAAGACGCTGCAGTGCGTCCTCTCTGGTCACTGCTTCACATTGCTCTATCGTCCCCCGCACACCAGTTGCCTTTCTGACAGTGGGTCCACTCCCTAGATACACACATTCGTGTCAGCGTGATATTTTCATAGTATAAAAGATGATGTTCTGGGGGAACAACAAAAAAAAGATCTGTCACAGAGAAAATGTGCTTCTGGGGTACCAGTGTGCACTGGTGATAAGAAAATGTTTATAGCTGTGGTCGACTTGTTTTCCTACTCATTGAAGTGTCAGTCTACTCAGCTGCTCCGTATCAGGAGACTTTGTTAAGCCTGCAAATGTCAAACATTACCAGGAGCTACCGGTTATTATTCTTTTCTTTATTCTTTCCTAGAAAATGACTGAGCACACAGGATATGAGCCACTGTCTCAGATAGAGCTTTGCGTTGCTCGTTGACAGAGAAATACGCTCAGATCCAGATGAGTCCAGGAAAAGCACACCATAATTAACAATAGCTACACCAGTATTAATATTAGTATTTGTTCATATCAGTTCAGGCAGCTCATAATCTTTTTTTATCAGTGAATCTCTTCTTTTTTCCTTTACAGCACATCTGCTGTGATTGTAAGAAGAGTTTCTGCGCCCTGTGTTCAGTGCTGCAGGAGAACTTGCGTTGCTGCATGACCTGCCACCTGCTGCGCGGCACAGCCTTCCAGCGGCCGCGGCTCATGCAGCTCAGAGTGAAAGACCTACGCCAGTACCTGCTGCTGCGCAACATCCCCACCGACACATGCAGAGAGAAAGAGGACCTGGTGGACCTAGTGCTCTGTCATCAGGGGCCGAGGGTGACCCCGAGACCAGTGGTGGAAGAGGAGGAGGAGGAAGAAGAAGAGGACGAGGAGGAGGAGGAGGACACACATGAGGAGGATGAGGAGGAGGATGAAGGGGGAGATGACACAGACAGTCTACACTCACTACCACACTCACACGCCACCACGCCCCCGTCCGCCACACGTTCCACCTCTGAACAGTCAGTTCTCTCCGCCTCTCAGGGAGATGTGCTCAGTCCAAGTGACAGCTCAGGGACCACCAACCAGGTCTGGCAAACACTGCTAACACCGTGTCCTGTTCAGACACACACACACACATCAGTTGTAAAAGCCTATACCCACCAGTTACAGTCCTCAGTAAATCAGTCATTCACTGATTTACAAACAAACGCCCCCTCATGCAAAACTTTGGATGGCACTTAGTTTATTTCATTCATCAACGTTATTCATGCTTTATTCTTTCCTTTTGGGGTGGGGGTGGGGGTTAGTACATAAGGAAGACAACCCTTCTAGACAATTCTTTACTTGATTTATCCAATTTTGTCTGAATATACAATGCACTGCATTTTTTTACTAACAAGCAAAACAAACAAAAATGGCCTGATAGGTAGATTTAGTCTATGAATATTGAAAATGCTATACCAAGGAGATTTTGATCCCGTTTGTTTTTGAGAGCAACAGATTTCAGTGTTATGTTGATCTTATATGGCATTTCCTCTTATTAGAACTATAGCAGCCTTGACAGAAATATGCACTCTCTGAGTGCTTTCTAGTACTTTCATATGTTTCAAATGGCTGAGTGAAGTCAAGGAGCTCTAGAATGGGTTTGGCGCTTTGCTGCCCACGTTGTCGTCCCTGAGGAATCTAGTCTGAGTGAAAGCATGGTGTCTGGGTGAGGGCAGGCATCTAGCACCACGATGCCAATGGAAACATTATCATCACATCTGCATTTGAGGGGGATGGAAGTCTGCTGAAATGTGCTGAAGCAGATGACTGGAGAGACAGAGTATTTTTACTTTTAATGGTACAGAAACAGATTGTGCATTCCAGTATGATATCATGGAGATTATTTTACCTCTTCACAAGGCGAGGGTTTAAAGTAGCTCAACTGACTCCAGTATGTTGATTTCCACTCACACAGGAGCGTGAAGATACTCCAACACCATCCCTCTTGAACCTTGAGTCTACTGAAAATATCATAGAGGTGCGGAACTTGTTATTTAAGCACATCTGCAGAAATGAACAGCCTTTATACTACAAGTAAACGAGAGTACAGTCCTACTGCTGATGTCATGACTCTGCTCTGTGGACTGTAGGTCAGTCCGGCGACACAGAGGAGGATCAGGGCCTCGTTGTCTGATCTGGACAACGAGGAGGCAATAGAAAACCTGTCCGTCCGCCAGCTGAAAGAGATTCTTGCCAGGAACTTTGTCAGTTACTCTGGCTGCTGTGAGAAGTGGGAACTGCTGGAGCGAGTGCATCGACTCTACAGAGAAAATGAGCAGAACAGGAAATCCAGTAAGCCATTTTTATAGATTTTACATCTAAATGTTACATTGTGACCTTTGGTGTTCTGTATAATAAAAAATTCTTCCTTTTCTCTTTTTCTTTTAGTGGAAAATGTGAGCATAACTGCAGGTAATTGTTCTTTCGATTATTATGTTTGTAGTTCTGATATGACAGTACTTGCATAGTTAGCTCCCACCTATAATGAAATAAACATTTAATGGAAAAACTGTTAAATTCTTGCTTCAGCATTGTTTTTTTGTTTTGTTTTTTTTGTTAAAAGGAAAGTTCACAGTTTCCAAAACTAATAGATTTTCTTTATCACTGCCCATTCTTATCTATAAAGTTGTTGCATATCCTCCACCTCTCTGCAGCAGTGGAGCTGGAGGTAAGATGTTTTTATGAAAAGCCACTTCACGGCACCCTGTGCATTCCACCTATGAACACATACCATAAATTGCACTGATCATGTCATGTAAATAAACAGTGCAAAGGCATGCTCCATGTTATCCTGTACATTGTCACATTATGGTCACGTGAGTCATCTATCTCCTATCTGGTTCAGTGTCTCCACATTGTGTTGCTCATGTTTCTTTTCAAGTGTGCATCATCTAATTTTCTTCAAAAGGTCAGCCTCTCATCCTGTCATCAATGCACTCTCTAAGAGCTTTTACCTCTTGATGAGCCATCATATTACTTCAGTGGCAGCATGTCTCCATCAGGTGTAATTACACTCCCAAGCTTCGTAGAGGCTGTCTTGTTGACATAAAAGGCTTGAGGGTCATATTAGCCCACTTATCAAGCAGACATGTAGGGACAGCAGGCAGGCCGCAGCTCTGATGGCTTGTTTAAGATGTGAGCAGCAGAAGCCACATCCAGGTCAAAGAGCTGATCAGTCAGCTGCCAGACCAGCTGAGTGCTTGATGTGTGTGTGTGTGTGTGTGTATAATTAATGGTTTATTCATTGACATCTACTTAAAATTAAAAGTAACCGATCAGTTGTTGTGAATGTGGAATATTCACTTGCTCATATGTGAAGAGCTTTTTCAGCTGTTATGGACTTTTGTTTAAATTTCCCTTTCTTTCTGGGCATTTTAAGGACATACAGTAGCATATTTGTCTAAAGAGCTTAGATTTAAATACTGCTGTTATTGTGTTTGTTTGTGGATTGAAATTATTTTCTTTATGGCTTAATGCTTTATTTTTATGTGAAGTCAAATGGCCCACCCCTGCATCACCTAAGATATCTCCAACTGCTGTGACTCATTTAGCTGTTTTCTGTTTGTCTGACTAGTAGAACCACACCGAATATCTCACAAGGCAATTTTGCCAAACTAGTTTAATACGTTTGGGCAATGCTGACAAAACATTGTGGACATTTACTGTCTGCTATAACCTGCTGGGGAAGTAGACATTTACCGCTCATGACCAACCAGAGGTGGCATGTTTGATATGCTGTTCACATGAGCCCTATTTTGGCCCAGTAGGACTGTTGAGCATTTGTACAACATCACTGAGCTCCATACACTTTGTTAATGAGCCTTACAGAGAACCATTGTTGATAAACATAATTTCACATTTCCATCCACAGATGGTGTCAAAGCTCAGCTGGTGGCTGATGAAAACCTGTGTCGCATCTGTATGGACGCCTTCATCGACTGCGTACTGCTGGAATGTGGTCACATGGTAACCTGCACCAAATGTGGAAAGAGGATGAGCGAGTGCCCCATCTGCAGGCAGTATGTAGTGCGGGCCGTGCACGTCTTCAAATCTTAAAACTCTGTGTGCGTGCGTGCGTCTGTGTGTGTCAGAGCAAGAACTGCCCGTGGGCGTGCGTGTGGTCCAAGCCCTGAATTTATCACTGAGGATAAACCGCTGCGCATGACGTCTCACAGGACCTAATGCTACAGCAGGCATGAGCAACTTCCCAGTCCTTGAAAAGAGACTGTTGCCTCTGGCCTACCAGTTTGTCCTCTCTCTCTCCCTCTACTTTACTAATTTATGTTTCAGCCCCACATCTCCTCCCTGCTGGACCATCATCAGCTGCACTGGGACACTCACTCTTTCTCTCTTTGGTCTTTCACAACACAGGAGAACACCCTGCCACCACTTTCTGGTCTGTTTAGGCTTTACTCACAGTAGAGGAGAGGAGCTGTAGATTCTTGAAGTGTTGTCAGGTTGTTCTGCGTGGTGAAGAGAAGTAGTGTGATGAAAAATATAAGATCACAGGGTTAGAGTCACTATGGTTTACAGAGTCACGCCACATGACCCCACGTTATCTCCCTCAGTGTTCTTTAGGATGTGCAATATCAGAAAAAAAGAAACTGTGTTTTTAGAAACTGTTTATTCATGAATCTGAACATCACACACTCTGAGTCATCTTGTCTCACACACAGGAGCGTGTGAGGTGCCAAATGTCATGCCTTTGAGTGATAAGTGGGGTTAAAATTTCACAGTATGATGTATCTCATAACCAGCAAACTTGGTATGATAGTTGACTCTTCTTTATGTTTTGTAAACTTTAGGAAATAGAAGTATGTACCTGTAAACCTTTGAACACTTACTGTGTGGAGGATGTGACTCCTGTTTCCTTAGATGTGACTTCTGCTGTGTGATGATGGCACAGAGAGTAAAACTCCTGCTTGCTCAAATCACGTGCTGCACTACATTCCTGTTACATCGACTGACCTGTGAAACAGCAGCGTGAGGCCCATTTCATAGTCTGTTCTGGTGCTTTCAGCCGCATTTCATGCTCTTCTTCAGCAGTTTCCTCATTTGTAATGGAGATGGTTCACATGACCTAAGGTGGGCATGTATGACGTGGAGATCGTCCGAATGGCCTCATCCTTGTAGTGAGGAAGACCATGAGGTGGAGCTGAAAGATTCAGAGAAATAAGTGGTCTGTGAGTTGAGATGGTGTTTTCATAACTTCCACCAAGCAATACCATTTCAGTTACAAGTCTACCAAGTGTGTTTGATGATGTTGTCCATGTCAAATCTTAGGTAGGTAACAGGTGCTACTTCCTTTTTACTCACTGTAGCATCAACACCTTGGTTTGACATGTTGTCTAGGTGTCCTTCCAACCATCCATCTCGCAGTGAAAGGTAGAGGAATCCTGGTTTACTCTGACCTGTTATGCAAATGAAACACTTTTTCTTGTCATAAGATCCAGTTAACTCCATTGTCCCTATGATATCTGTGTACACAGTATGCCTGTGGTATGTTTAAAAAAAGCTGAGTTGCTAAGTGAATTGCATACAGTAGATAGCTTATATTGTTGTTTACTGACAAGTAATTAAATGTATATTTTTCCATTTACTTGGGAGATGACATGATTTAAAATTCTAATTAGTACAGAGGTTTAAAAATTATAATATACTGTTTTTCAGAATGTATTTCTGCCACTTTTGGTCAGTCCTCTGATCATGTCACTCTCTCACCATTAAAGCTGCGTCATGGTCTCGCTTTCTAGCACTTTTTGTTGTCGTCTTCTTTGGATCCAAAACTGACACTGACACCATGCACTGTAACAAACGCTGTTACTCTGTAAGTCTGTTTGTTGCTGCTACTGTATCTCAAAGATGTCATTCATGGGCAGCTACAGTATTACCAGAGTACGATGGTATCATGAGCACTCATAATCCTGGATCTTTATATTTTGGAATGTTGAACATTTTTATTTTGGTAAACGAGAAAATGATGTATTAGATTCAATAAAATGCAGTACAAATCAGAAAGTAAAACCTTGCTCTTCATTTTGTAACTGGTCATACACTGGTTTTATTTACCATCAGCCAACACAGTAGCTGGGAAATGTAACACAAATGCTTAAGATTGTCATGGACTTAAATCCCATTTTGCTACTATTTATGGTGGCTATTGTTTTTCTGCATTAGCCATTCAGTGCATTTACATTCTGTAATGAACTTTCTATGTGGTTGTTTGCGTTGTTAGTGGCAGTTTACACCGTTCCCACCCTGGATTCAACTTGCCCACCTACGCTAACCTAGAACGCGAGTTTTTGTGCACTCTGTAAACACATACACCTGTTCTGTTGTATTTGCCTGTAATGTTAAATCACTCTTGTTGTCACCAAATCAAACATGACTGAAATCTAAGTGATTAAAACTAAAAAAAGAAGAGAAAAAACCCAAAAGGCAATGTTGACACAAATCTGTGTTTAAAATGAATGTAATATCTCTAAGGTTCACTTAACCTTTCCTAGAGGCTTTACATGTACATTATGTACAGACAGAACATTTACAGTAACATACCAAAATATTTTATGGAGACGGTTGTTTAAGAAAACAAATAAAATCTGAATGTAAACCCATCCACTGAACTATATTAACCACTATTCAGAAGTTACACAAAAACCTTTAAAGACTTACTTTTTAAAAAGTTGCAAACCTATTGAATCATTACACAGTAAAGTCTGAAAGTTTTTAGAGACGTTCCAACAGCAAAATTTGTCACTTCTGTATGACTTTAAACATCATGTTGACAAATACATGTGCACAGTAAGAACAATACATCTGAAAACTGAATAATGCCATTAAGTTGCAATGTCCTGTAACACAAATGTCATTAAAAAAAATCGAACATTTGAACAATTTTAAAGAAAACAGCCAGTGTAAATAAATGTCCATCTCGGTCTCTAAAAATAAATCAATTATGTTTACATTTACACAACTCTTTCAGGAAAGATGCTTTTGTAGGCTTTTCACATATAGCACAGGGAGTACACACATACAGAGCCTATGAACCTCTATGTAGTAAACAACTCTGTATATTGTCTTTGGCCCTAGGACAGAGTTTTTGACCTGGGGGTCTGAACCCACGCCTGGAGACTGGCATGGATTTGCTTGACTGATTCTGGTTTATGTTTTGAATAAAATCTGTTCTTTCCCTGCCATTAGAAACAGAACCCGTCCCCATGCTACTACCAAATTTCTGGGGTCACTGGGATTTTGGGGTATATGCTATAAACAAGGTTAAATGTGAAAAAGCAGAGAAACAGTCCTTTTTTATTCATCTTTTTGCCTCTTGTCTGTTTGATTACAATTTATGGCTCATGAAAAAACTGACAAAACTCTGCACACCTTTGATTGTATGACAAGTGCATTGGAGGAAGACAGCAAATTGCAAAAACATTTTTTATGTTTTTGCCGTTTATGGTTCACAGAAGAAAGCAGTTGCATCTAAAATATTCTAACCCTGGGCTTTTCTTTATTTCTTGCATCATTCAGCACCAAGTCTCATTTTATCTTATGTAGTTCAGCTAAAACCAGGAGTAAACAAGTGGTTATATTGTTTAACAGTAACCAGATCTACTGACTGGCGTGTAAACAGATTTCTTCGCTGCATGCAGAGATAAAAAGCCTCCCTTTACAAAGCACCAATAATACTAAAGAGTGATGGAGACTGACAGTCAACTTTGTATGCAGGTATACCTTAATATAACCCAGTAACTACAGTACAAGCTGTTAGTAGGATTAGCAGAACAATTTAGTGTTGAAAAAAATATACTTTATACACTGTTTAGTGTATGTGTGAATACATTCATGTATTCATATTTACTGTATCAGTGCAAATAACTTTTTAAATTTTCTTCTACATATCTCATCCACAAGGACAAAATAACATTATATACACGAAACGTACAAAATGTACAGTACCTTTGTCTGATCAGAAACAGGGCACTGACACATAATTGAAAAAGAAGAATCACCCACACAAACACAAGCTACCATCCTACAGTTTGGCAACAAATGGTTAGATTTGTGCCACTCGGTAATAAAGAGCTTGACAGTAATGCTGAGTGATTATCTGTTCCAACAGTATGATACTGTACACTGGTGCATTCAATACTGCACATAAATGTATGAAACAATTTCTGATACAAAAATATTACTCTATAAAGCAATAGATCTTGCACTGGAACAAAAAAATAATCTATGAACACCAAAAGATAATCATGATACAACACATAAACAATCAACATAAAGAAATAAATAGCTTATAAACAGGTGCAAACAACAACAAAAACATTTTTGCAATATTGCCTTTGTTGGACAAGATTTCGTTTTTACATTCTAGCTTAGCAGCGCAGCTTCCCTTTACATCACTTTTACAGTGTTCAGTAGTCTGCAGAAACAGCAGCTTTCCCCACAAGCACACAGTCATCTGCTGCCGCCGTGTGGGGAGCAGGCTTCACCACATGGCGATGTCACATGGCCTTCCATGTTCCCATACCTAGCTGATCTTTTGCAGTAGTTTCTCTTCTATTAGTTCAAACTGCACGCTGACTGACATTTCTGCGATGAACTGGTCACATCCTTCTTTGGTCACCTGTTTGCAGTATCGCAAGTCGATATGACATATGCTTCCACAGCGCTTGAAATAGGTCAGCGACTGGTCTGTGACCCTGTTACAGACTGCAGGAGGAGAAAGTGGGTTAGAAAAAAATAACAAATGATGTGTAACGAGTCACCTGTACTGACATAAGCTATGGCAAGCATGGATTAATCAATCCTGTTCATGTAAGCCTCATTGTAGTGTTTGGGGACAAATATTACACCCATCAGAAAGCCCAATGCATTTGCCTTTCAGTGATTTCCATAATGGCCCTTTGATTCAAGGCTTTTAACTTTTAACAGCACTCCAGAGAGACAACAAGAATAAGATTGTTTTAGTATCTGTGCACTCTACAGTAAGTGATCAAATCATTTTTGATGTGATTTCGGGGGCGGCTGTGGCTCAGGAGGTAGAGCGGGTCGTTTCCTAACTGGAGGATTAGCGGTTCGATTCCAGTCAACATCCAGTCATCCAGTCAACATTTCGAAGTGTCCTTGAGCAAGACACTGAACCCCCAGTTGCTCCCGGTGATGTCACTGGTGTGTGAGTGTTTGGGAGTGTGAATGGGTGAATGGCCAAATAGTGTGAAAGCACTTTGAGTGTGCTGTAAAGCATAGAAAGGCACTATACAAATATACAGTAAGACCATTTCATGGCTCTAATAGCGCAGCAAGAAGTAACAGCTTTTGAAATGATCATGAAGTTCAATCAACATCTTGCAAACAGTTTCAACAAAAGCCAACCATTATCTTCATGGAGAGAGGATTTATTGAAAGCATTCATTGTGCTATAGTATACTGAAGTAAACGGAAATACAATCCCAACAAATCAATATAGATGTTTAAATTGATCTCATACCACACTTTCCAGACAAACCTTGTTTTCAGGTTTCAAATCTCTCCCTGCTGACCACAGTGTTACCATTTTAACAAAGGTGACTAAATGTTCAATATGCTCCATTGCACAATGCAACCGTCACAACCTCCAGACTGATTTTCTATCTGTGCCAACATGAAATGAAACAAGTCGCTGTCTGGAAGGTGGGAAATCAATATACAACATGCTTTGGAGAATGTTCTACAGTACTGTAAAGTACATGTGTTTTGTGGTTAATGAGGTCAAATGTGCAGAAAAACGCCATTATGGCCCTAAAAGCAAATATTTAAATGAAATCTGTGGGACTGGTTTATAAATTTACTGGAAGTATTATACACTGCAAATAGAGACGGTAACTCAAGATGTGGCAGTACCTGACAGGTTGATGTCAGTGAGTGAATCTCTGGTGGTCGTCCCTGCAGCAGTCAGGATGTTGACAGACTGGTCAGTGACGTGGTTACAATAGCTGAGGTCCAGCTTGGACAACAAGGGCATATAATGAATGATGAGGCGCAGAGATGTGTCTGTGATGTCCAACCCTGCCAGACGCAGGTCCTCCACGTTACGCAGCTTACTCCTGTTGTCTAGCTGACCTACAACATTTTTGTAAACAAGGAAAGAAGATTAACAGAGGCACAGAGGAAGAAAAGAGACTATTTAATATGTCTGACCATACTGTATAACTAGCCTTCCTCTGTGCCACAAATCTTCATTGTATCCAACAACAATTATGAACACATCATTGTAGTTTCCCTGGCTCACAAGCTCCTTCATTAGCAGTAACACAAGGCAAGGCAAGTTTCTTTACATAGCACATTTTCATATGCAATAGCAATTCAAAGCGCTAAATCACACAGAAGGATAACACATTAAAATGCATATATAGATAAATCATTAGAGTGCAAAGGAGATAAAACATTAAATATTAATTCAAAGCAACAATTACATGATAGTACAAGCAGTAGCATGCATGATACCTAATACTTTTAGTATAGCTGTGGCAGACTGTGGATTCTCACTGTGCTGCAGTTTACTTAGTCAGTCCCACAGTCACTATCTTGCTGCTGTACATACATTAGATGTGCATTAGTCCGCAGCTGAAAATAGTGCCCAGCAATAACATTATTTACTCCTGTTTGAGTAATGCTGGCTAAAAACTACAGTGCCTAGCTGCTTTAGGAAATGACTCAGCCTTTTGTTAGATATAAAACTATATATATGAGCCATTTTTAAATACTTATGTCTTCAGCAGG